TACTACTTACTACTTACTACTTACTACTTACTACTTACTACTTACTACTTACTACTTACTACTTACTACTTACTACTACTTACTACTACTTACTACTCCTACTACTACTACTCCTCCTCCTCCTGCTGCTGTTGCTCCTGCTCCTGCTCCTGCTGCTGCTGCTGCTCCTGCTCCTGCTCCTGCTCCTGCTCCTGCTCCTGCTGCTGCTGCTGCTACTGCTACTGCTACTGCTACTGCTACTGCTACGCTGGTGCTGTCGCTGCTGCTGCTACTGCTACTGCTACTGCTACTACTACTACTACTACTACTACTACTACCCAACCATCCTCAGTGGGCTAGAATTTTTTTTGATTACCATTTTATTTTTTTATTGATCCCCGTTGAATATTTTTTTGATTCTTTTTTATTTTTATTTTGATCCCTCACCCGCTGACGTGACTGGCAGAAAACGATCAACCAGACACACATTGCCACTTGCTTTGTTGGGAAGAATGCAGGGAAGATTGCAGGCAAATTAATTTCCAACATATTTACAACTCTTAAGTCTAAAGTCGGCCGGATCCGCGGTCGACCAACTGCTGTTATCGGCAGCATGTGTCTATTTTTCGGCATCCTGTGCCACCAAAGGGCTAGCTGCTAGCACCCTTTGCGAATCCAACACCCGGTGCCTATTGGTGGTGCTATGTTTGCACCTCCACCATCCTCCACCACTCCACAAAAAGGAACACACTCCAGAACCGCACTTAGACTGAAACTGCCTCAGCTCGAGGCCTTCGCTGCTACTCAGCTCTACCTGCAGAAGCAGCACCTCCTCACCTCCTCGCGGCGCTTGGCCGTGAAGACGGTTTGGGCCCCCAGCGACCGAAGTGGCTTCGTGACGAAGGCGGGGCGACTGCCGGAGCTTCACGCGCGACCGCGCGGAGGCCGAAGGAAGGAAGCAGCGTCGGACGGTCTATAGAGTTTGTGTTAGATATAGGGACCCGATCTGCCCCAGGAATCCTTAGAATCCTTAGAATCATGACCGGAATGAGAAAAAAACAGGTACAACTGTAGTATCCCATTGTCCGAGGTACGAACGGGTCGACTCCAGGTAGTTATATGCCGCAACGGTATATAGTTGAGGCAAAATTACAAGATTACTTTGAAATATGGCTGAAAGCACCCAACTCTTTTTCAATAGGCGAATCCACTGGCGATTTGAAAGGGTGCTCCACCCAGATCAGATCCTTTGGAATGAAAGATCCTCTTGGGAGAGCCAGTTTCAACTGCCTCAACTGACTGTCCTTCGCTGTCGCCTGTCGCCGAAACCGGCGGCTTGCAAGGCGATCTTCACCTGCAAGTTGCTGAATGACTGAGCATGCTAGGGATCGATTCCCAGTCAGGAACTGATCCATCCTGAAACGCTCGGAACCAAGTGAGCCGATCTCCGATGTGCTGCGACTCTTCGCCGATCTGGTGAGCATAATCCGCGCTCCATCCGAAGCAGCGAACCCACGGGAAGACCCCGGGGGGGCTCTCCCGTCGCGTCGCCCCCGTTCCCCGCCGCGGACCGGGTTTGGAACAGCCGGGGGGCGCACGGAACACCGGGACGACCCCCCGGGGCACGAGGGTCGCCCGGACCTCGCGTCGACCGGTGGCGGTGGCGAAAACGTGGTCGGTCCAGCGCGAGTCGGGTGGTCCGGAGGCGGAGAGGTCACAGGGGACTGAAGCTTCCCACCACTGCTGAGCAAAGGAAAGCACTCGGACTTCGGTCATCAGATCGGTCGCACGAACTTCGTTGCCAGGACAAGGAGAACTTATAAACCCTAGACAAGTATTTTCCAACTCTATGTAAAACTGTAAAGTTATGTTTGCCTGATTGAACTGGCATGCAAATTCTGCCTAGTAGTTGAAAGATCCAGGATGATCCAGGTAATGTGCTGCGTCACTTAGCAAGCGGGTGTTCAACATGACAACGCATTCGGTTGGGCGCAGTGATGGTTTGTTGGAGATGGCTTGCTCTCATAATGAATGTCATAATGTGGCTCATGTCCTTGCTGAAGCATTGATTTCAACATATTTCAACCACCGCCAGCTGTCGAGCGTGTTTCCCAGCCCTCGGGCAGCCTGCGGGCTGGCAGATGAGCCAGTGGCCGGCAGTGGTTCGGAATGATCGCTTGGGATTTGTGATGTTCATTGGCTCAAGGTTGCTTTTGATACATGAACGGCGGAACAAATTCTAGAGCATCTCCCGATCGACGTTCATTCCAGGTTTGAAAGGCCTTCAGAAAATTTTCCTCAGGCGGTAGAATCAGGTTCACGACCACTCGCAGTAAACTTCACGTCCACGGAATCTCCACGGCCACCAGCGCATCTCGAACGGGCAGCTCCACAGGCGTGGCGCGTGCTTCAGCCGAAGTGTCAGCCCTACAATGTTTAATGTGATATATACAAACAAATTTCTACAAAATTGTTCAAGTTCAGTTCAACGTAACATTTTTCCATGCCCGCCCTACCCCCATGACTTGACTTCATCCCATCTTATCCCATGCCCTGCACCACCTGAGCTTGCTGAACATCCCTCTCCTTTCGCACCTGTCCCGGCCACGTGTTAACAGCCCCGGCGCGTCGCACCGGCGCGGAAACGCCGCGCGGCGCGTACCGCGCAGCGGCCGCACATGCCATGGTCACCATTCCCCCGCTGCCGCACGGCGCTTGGCCTGACCTGGCTCCGGAGTTCGTGGCGCCCGAGCGGCACCGAGGCGGGGACGCGACGGCGCGGTGTTTGGGAGAACGGCGTTTTCTGATGAAAGGACCTTTAAAGTAAGCAGGAGTGAGGAGGGCAAACGTCAACAACAAGCCATGACCATGTGGAATGTGTAAAGATAGTTCATTTGGGTTCCTTCCAGAGTGTGATTTCTGGATATTTCTGGGATGCTCAGCAGGATGGCTTTGGCTCAGATAATGCGTGTCCATCACACTATCCCAGCCATGCTGGAAGGACAGGAAGATGAGAACATCTTCTTTCAAACCACAATCCTTGTAGAGGGATTAGGAATGTGCAGCAAGCCAACAGGTATATATATATATATATTTTTACTATATTTTAGGAGTATAAAGTCTACCCTAATACTGAAAACATTTGAAAACCAATGGGTGTATCTCACCATGGGGCCCGCACGAGGCCCTCGTAGACTTACTGTAGTTATTTTTGCTCCATCCCTATTCTTTTTGCTGAAAGATTCAGCCACAGCCCAGGTCTCACCCAAAGATGCCATCCAAAACGCAACAAGTGGGCCAAGACGCGCAGCAGTTTTCCCATAAACCACCAACCGCCAAAAGATCCCGGAAAGAATGAAAAGCATCTCGAATTAACCGTGCAAAAGAATCGCCCAAGCGCTCGACCGCAGCAGCCCTGCAGTTCTTTCGCCAGGCGATTTGGGCGCCCAACGCCCGCGTGCGCGGCGGAGTAGCGGAGCCAGTGCCCTGGGCGTCGCAGTTCTCGGGGTGAAAGAAGCGCTAATCGAAGGCTACCAGGACCCACGGTCGGGGTTTTCAATGGACACCGTCACCCTGAATCACATCTAAGCGGCTATTATTGGACACCCCAAGCAGGGGATTGACGGTCAGAATTGAACAAACAAGCTGTCAAATTCAAAAATAAGCAAAGGTTAAAGCGATCAGTTCATTCGGGGAGTTCTTCTTTGCTCGGGGATGTGGATGGGTGGCGTGTTTTTGACGTTGAGCGAAGTTAGCATAGTTTGGTGTTGGATGGGTTTAGACCACTCAACCCGGAAGAAAGTCTCATATAACCCGCAAGAGGAATGTGTACGAAATGTGCTTGGCAAGTACACTTTGTTGCCACACACAATCGTACATATTCCCCACGGGCCCCACAGGACTTTGGGCTCAAATCTTGAAGTCTTTGTGCGAAGCTTAAGGATCCACTATTGAGAGATGCTTCATGTTGAGGTCAACACATGCATGTAATCTAAAAGCTCTATCCTAACATCCTACAGCCGTGTTTTTTGTGCGTTCACCATGTTGTGGATTTCAATGGCCACTGCTGCGTTTTTCCTGATTAGTCGCTGCACACCTGGGGGAGAACTGAACCATCAAGAACCGAAAGAATGACCTTCATGATTCAAAAGAGTAGGGGGTCATGAGGTCAGGTCTTGGCACTGTTATTTGTGCCATATTTACAGCCTTCGGCATGCCGCCGGCCACCAGCTCGAGCCCGCATTGGCAGGCAGCTTAATGATACAATACCCTGCTCAATCATACTTGTTGGTGCATTGGAGGTGCACA